ATTTCGATGCTCCTCTTGACAGCCCTTTTTGTCCTCTCCAACGGACCAGGACGACCCGGACGCTGCTCAGTTGTTTCCTTGCCATGTTTCCTGAACTGCACGATGATTCTGTTGACTGTCGAAAGCAGGATTCCCAAATTCTGCGAAATTTGCCGCTGACTTATTCCACCATCTGTTTGACCAACTATCCTTCCTCTAACAAAATCTGACAATTCGAGAGAATCTTGAGTTCTGGGCATGTTGTAGCACAAGATAATTAGTGTGCAGACCATTTTCATTTAGATAGTGCTGTGTGAACACAAATTAGTTAGCATAAATCATTTAAATGACGAAAAATTAGGTGTCTATTTACTTGTGACCACTCAGTGTATATATTGTCAGTTCTGTTTAAGATATATTTTAATCAAATCAGCAACTTTTCATGTTTTGGATGCTTTTTTTTTATTATTATTTAGACTACTGTTGCATTGCAGGTACTAAACTAAACTATCACCATGAAAAGTAATTACATGATTTTAATATAGATCATTAGACCATATAGACCAACCTTTCGTTATTATAAAAACTTTTCCTTGTCCTTATGACAGTAACCACTTATACATAAACATTTTTAAAAATCTGAATATTCCAAGTTTGTACTTCCTAAACAAAATATTTCAAAGCTAGCAAACTTAGGTGCTGATGTTATTATTTTTATATTATTACACTGCACTGCCCTTTAACTATTGTTTGTGTTATTAAGCACAAAGATACGCAATGAACTATATTGTGCTGTGCCCACTACAGGTATCAAAACCCAGTTATTCTCCTGAAGTAGAATATTGAACTAATCAAAAGCGCTCAAGTTTTGGCTCTAGTTTAAAAACCAACCCAGTTATATATATTTGACATTTTATGCTTGAGACTTTATTTTATTGTAAAACTCATGTAAATTTTTATTTTCATATGTAATCTTAAAATAACTCTTTTGCAAACACGCAGAACTATATGATTTCAGTATTTATCATAGTAATATACAGATTTTCTCAAAGCTTCCTTGAAGTATTTTATATATAATATAAAACACAAACTGTGTCTTTTGAAATTTTCATATTTATAAGACTTTAAAATGTACATATTTTTATTTTATTCTTATTTTTAATATTTTAAACATTTGTGAATATAGTTGTATACATCTCATTACTATAAGACTTTATGGTATATATATTACTTCCTTATAAAACACACAGCATATTCTGAAATGCCTTTAATGGACTTTATCAGAATAAATATATATTTCAATGTTTAGTAAATTAAGCATGGAGATACTTACAAAACTTCAGATTAAAACTGACTGGAGACTTAGCTGACCACAGACGCATGGTGTTAACAACATTATTACGGAACCCAGGAATTGGGCTGTCATAAGGCATAGCAAAAACGATCTAAAACAGAAAGTTAATTCAACAGTTGTTAAGATATTAGGTTTCTAATTAGAAAACCAGGTACATAAACTAAATCACATTCTTATATCAATGTTTACTTTCAAGTAAATGTCGTGTGCCTAGCACTAACAAAATATTAATAAACACATATAAAATTAATTATTTTAGTGAATAGACAAATGTATGTTAATATTAAAATACTGCTTCAGTGAACTACTGACTCATTCATTCACACAACATAAAATAAAGTTTGTACAAAAATTCATGAACTTGAAATTTATTCAAAACAAATATGAACTGGAATATTTATTTAAATTTCAAAAAAAAAACCTAGATCGGGATTTGAATAATCAATCTTTTAAAACTTAAAAAAAATAGTAAAAGGAAAAATATATTTTTATTTTGACAAATTGTACGATAAAAGTTATTGAGTCACTTAAAGAATAAGTAACATAAGTAAGATGTCATGTTTATATCTAATTGTTTGAAATTAACATAATCTCAAAGTGTAAATCTTAAATTAGTACTATAAATGCTTTTATTAAAATTGAAGTCCCCTGGTGGGAGAGTGGTAAGTCTCTGGACTTACAATGTTAAAATCCGGGGTTTGATTCCCCCGGTGGACACAGCAGATAGCCCAATGCAGCTTTGCTCTAAAACAAACAAACAAATTTAAATAATTTATCCTACCTTTAACCTTATGTGCATGCCATGACTTTTTTACAGAATTCTATTCAACACAATGTTATGTATTCGATGTCAGAGTTATCAACTATTTGTTTGACCCAACATTGCTGATTTAGCAACAGTTCAAGGTAGAAGAGAGTAGGCAGCAAATACAATATAAAAAAATACTAAAAAACTGTAGATAGAGGTTCTAGAGAGTATGCAAATACAATATTCAAACCATTAAATGAACAAAATTATTTTTATTTTTTGCATGATAATTATCATTAACTTGAGCTTGTCAGAGTCTAAGTCAACAAATCGACATATTCGACTCACAGACATATCTTAAGTACAAATACAATTGTAACAAATCTGAGTTTTTCTGTACAACATATTTGTATATTTGACTAAAAGTTTGCCACATTTTGTGTAAATACATGAAATTATAGTCAACATTCGTTCTCCAATCAGGTCGGTCCATTGGGCCAATCTCATGCATATTCTATTAATGGATTTTCGACATCAAACAGTAATGATTAATAAATCTAATTATCAATTTTAACCACATCAAAAAGGCTAAAGAAACAAGCTAAGTTGCTTTATGGTTTATATTCATTATCTAGTTTTAATATAAAGCTAATGACTGGCATTAAGAAAACATAGAAATTGTTATAAAACTGATAAAAAATATGAACCTTAAAAGAAATGTAACACAAATTATAGGCAGAAGAAACAGTTTATACTTTGTAAGAGGAAAGCAAGACATTTGAAAAATAAGCTTTACCAGCCCGTCCCTTTTAAAACAAATTTAACCTTTTGAACTTTCTGATTTAGTTTTTAATTCACCATTAATAACCTCAAATACTTTAGATGTTTGAATAGAATGTGACTGCTCCATCACAATTATTATTCATAAGACTAGCGGGTACTATATTTGTGAATAGATTAGGTCTCTTGGTCACTGACATTCTTCTTTTGACCAGAATTAAATGTTTTCATCAAAAAAAAAAAAGAAAAATCTTATATTATACAAAAAAGCTAAGTTTTTCTACATGGTAGAAACTAATATTGCAATAAAAAGAAGAGACTGGAACGATGATGTAATTAAAACCAAAATGCTCAAAGCCTCCCTAACTCTCCTAAGTGAACACCTAACATTTTTATTCGTGTAACTTTTGATGTTTACTTCAACTATAAACAGATTTTCATACAGAATCTTTTGTTATGAGAATTCTGTGATAACAAAAATCATTATTTCATAATAGAACATTTTACCTTACCTGGGTATCCACCCATTTGGCACCTTTTTCTGTGTTTTCAACCCGTCCATAGAAATTAACAGGCAACATAAACTCAGGTCTTGCCTTTTCCCATGGGTTACCATACCTTAGCCAATCATCTGGGTCTTCCACCTGAAAAAATGTTCGTATTTAAACTCATATGACACCACTCGTCGTTATTTTCTACACACAAACATAGTCAATAATGTAAACAAAGAACATTTTCTATGCAGTGCTTAATATTATTACTTAAAAGGTTTGAAAGCTCCAAAATACAGGAAAAATAAAATTCTTGAAATATTTTGTTTCTTCCTATTCATTATGTTCAGGAACATTTAAATAATCAATTTCTTTCTTTGTTTTAACAACTTATGAATAAAAAGAGTAGGAAGCTGCTCTAAATAAGTCCTAAAAAAATAGAATATTAAAAGTTTTTTTCACAAACCTGTTCCCCATTTTTAAGCCTCTGTGCAAAAATACCATATTCATATCTGATCCCATATCCATAGGCAGCTAAGCCAAGAGTGGCCATAGAATCAAGAAAGCATGCAGCCAAGCGACCAAGACCTCCGTTTCCTAGCCCAGCATCCTCTTCAATATCTTCCAGTTCTTCGATGTCCAAACCTAACTGGGGAATTAAATAACACATTTACTCTCTATAAAGTAATTTATATTAAAATTAACTCCAAAACCAAATTCTCTGATAAATTCTATGAATTTTTATTTTTTTCTAATAGATTTTCAATGAATATTCTATGTAATGATAGTACTTAAGCCAAGGCAGAAGTAAACAAACCTATTAAACATTGTAATTTTGTTATACAAATAATTGGTGGCTAAAACAACTCTTGTACATCACAGTAACCCTGAAGAGAAGTTTTTATAAAAAAGGATTCAAACATTTAAAAATATTATATGACACTTAGTCATAAGATAAGGACAACTCAGATTTGTATCACAAATTATATGAAATTAAATACAAAAAAAACAACACAAGGAAACAAGTACTGTAAACATTTAAATACATTTTTAGTAAATGGAAGACTGATAAGTATGTTACAAACCCAGTACTATTACTCAGGTTCGAAAGGATTCAGCTGGAATACTTGGCCTATTTACTAGCTTTACATCAAGTAATGTATATACTTACCTGATACAAGGCCTCATCACAAGCTCCTTGAATACCCAAGTTAAGCATTGTATTGCATAGTGATCGTCCCATGTAGTACTCCAGGGAGAGGTAGTAGACCCGCTAAGAAATAAAATCAGAATAATAAATTATTACTTTTTATTCAACTGCTCTCTTAAGCGTGGAAGTATTCTGATGTAATTGGTGAACTCTGAGCATAAGGTACCTTACTGTACATGTACTAAATATTTATGTTTGAAAGCACTGATATTATAATAGCTGTTACTGTTGTCATACAATTCCTTAATACTGTTAGCAGAATGTTTCCAATTATAAGAATAAGATTTCACTATTTAACTTTAGAGAGAAAAATAGCTAGTATAATAGTGTTGCGTCAGCGAGGTCACGTGATTAGTATCACGCCTCCTCTTTCTAGAAATATCGTGTTCCTTCATGAATGCCCTAGCGTTTACTAGATATGTGTTAATCTTGTATATATAAGATGGTCACAACGTGACGGGAGAATGAGTAATTGAACTGCAGTCAGAGAGTGTGTAATTGAACTGAGTATTGTTGAAGTTGAGCACGTGAGACGTTGGTTGAGAATTATAG